TATATATAAAAAAAAAATCACAAATCAATTATTTTCATTAGCTTAATAATGGCGTTACACATGCTGCATTTATCTTTAGGCCAGGCACAATGATGCACATTGGACTGTGATTAGTGATCACTGATCCTTGCCGTTTCCGATTTATAAAATGCTTGCGAGACCGAATGAGGAAAGGAAAAGCTCTAAGGTGAAACACATTTTTCATGTGAGACCTATTGTATCAAAAGCCGAATTAGTCATGGCCTTTTATTTCAGGGTAATGTGACCAGAGAGTCGGCATTTCTGCACCATGTGACTGCTCTCCATGCTTGGTGTCAGCAGAGTGCAATGGAGCTTCCAGCTGATTATCTGCTCCAAACAGGACTTTGCCACTGAGCCAGGCATAATTAACTCGTGGGAATCGACCATGTGACTTAGAAATTATGTTTATTCTTTACCAAATTGTTTTCCAAATCATGTTAAACGTTGCTGCTGCCTAGATTTTTGGTCAGAGGCATGTTTCCTTCTGAATGAAGCGCTACACTGAGGATCCGTTGTGGCTGACGACGGGCATACAAAGAGCATCCCGAGTCCTGTCTGTGTTCAAGAAAAGATATGAAATGCATTGTCATTTAATATTTACTGACGGGTACAGTGTCAACATTATTGCAACTTGCCAGAGAAGTTAATCAACAGCATGTCTTGATTATGTTACTTGAATCATATGCAACATATTTGTTTGCGTCCTACCTAATGGCTTTGGCGTGAGACAGTCAATTCTCCAAGTAGGCTATAAATGTCTCATTGAAGGTGTTTTGTCATACAATACCACTACATGGTGTGGGAGCAGGCTAGTGAGGCTCATTAATGTGGCCAGTGAGTTAATCAGACCTCCATAGAGCTTCTTTGGGAACAAAGGGTGAGGAGGAAGACTCCGTGCGTCTCAGAGAAACCTTTTACTTCCTCTGTTCTCCAGATTTGAGAAGCTAGATTCTGCTAGGCGCTACAGGAAGCCTCTAACTACAAAGAATGTGTCAAAGAAGTCATTTATCCCACAGGCAGTCGGCTTACTCGATTCAGAGAGACTTTATTTTAATCTTCTCTCTGTATTCTGTCACCAGAAAAAATAATAT